AACAAATTGTGGACGTCCGGACGGACAGGGGCGACTGCATAATATGTCCATATGAAAATGTGGGTGTATAAAAACACGATTTTTCGTACAATGAGGGGCCATAAATCAGGAAGTTCCGTTCCGATATGCACTAATATCGAAAGGAACTGAGATCTTTGGGTTATAAACTTCATTTCAAGTTTCAAGAAAATCAGATAAAAATTGTGACCTCTATATGGTCCACAACCTTGATATACCATATTTTTACGCTATTTGAGAACGATGGGCAGCCATTTTGTTAGTCAGTTTTGGTCCGATTTTCACGAAATTCGACCTCAGCCATCCTTAGGGTGTAACGGTGATATACTAAAATGTTTTTTTTAAATCGGATAAAAATTATGACCTCTATAGGGTCCACAAGCTAAAAACGAGATTTTTTCGTACAATCAGGGGCCATAATTCAGGAAGTTACGGTCCGATATGCGCGTATATCGAAAAGAACCGAGATCTTTGGGTTATAAACTTACATTTCAACAAAATCGGATAAAAATTGTTTCCTCTATAGGGTCCACAAGCTAAAAACGTGATTTTTCATACAATCAGGGGCCATAATCCATGAAGTTACGGTCAAATACATGCCAATATTGAAAGGAACCGAGATTTCGTTGAAATCTGATAAAAATTGTGACCTGTAGAGTGTCCACAAACAAATTGTGGACGGACGGACAGGTGGGCGTATAAAAATATGGGTTTGTGCATAACTTAAGCTTGATGGTGACGACTCTGTAATCAACTGTTTTAAGAACTTTTCGAAGGCGTGATAATTAGTGAATCTGTGAATTGCACCGCCGGGCGCGTCAAGTCGTACGTGACCAGATCCCTGAACCTTCCTGCCATTGAACAAACTGGCTGGCAGTTGGACAAAGGCATGTATGTTCCTGTGCAGAATCTTACTCTGTCTGACCCTTGTGTTTTAACTGAACTCACAGAAATTGGTTATATTATTATTATTATTATTATTATTATTACAGCATATTTATAGTGCACCCTTTCATATAACATGTTCAGGGGCACTTTACAAAGTGACCATGTAAATCACACATAAACAACAAGATTATGGACATGTTAACGATTGTATACAGAGTCAGTTAAAAGCCTATTTAAATAAATGTGTTTTAAGTTGTTTTTTAAAAGAATATAGAGATGTACAACATCTTAAACTAAATGGTAGATTATTCCATAAAACAGGTGCTTGATAACTTAAAGAGCGCTGACCATAAGAGACTAGTTGAACAGTTTTGGGCTTTAAAAGTAGTTTATCTGATGTACGTAATGTTCGACCAGGTGTATAAAGTTCTAAAAGATCTGAGAGGTAAACAGGAGCTAAATTATTTAAACATTTAAAAGTAAGTAATAATAGGGTGACCCACCATAAATAAATATCTCGAAATATCTCGACAATTACGCCACAATATTTATATATATGCCAAGCCTCAAATCAGTTTCACACAATTATAGTCACTAAATAAACGATCATGTTGTACTTAATAAGCTATGACCATTAATCATCTATAAATAATAGACTGAAAACTGGTTCCAAGTGTCGTCCATAACATCCAGACACTTTTGAGTAAAAGATAGGTTACATGCCCTTGTTTTGAAATTAGTCTCGCTTAACCAGTCTATCGACCATTCTACGTCTAATTGACAGGTTGGGATAATCAGGACTACTTTTTTACAAAACATAACAGAAAGCTAGAACAATGCGGCTCTTAACGGTACAGTTAATGATAAAGCAATTTAAACAAGCCAACAGTGAGGCTGATGTCCCCCGCCGAAATCCCCAAATAAATAGATGACACATATTAATTAATCGCACATCTGTTTTTTTCCAAAGTATCCAGAAATCAAACTGATTATCAACTAAACACTAAGTTTCATCACTCTCTATAAGATAGAATCAAAGTTATCTTGTCCCAAAGCAGGAAATTGCTTATCGCTGCTTAGCTTTAGCTCGATATGTTAATCATTGAACTCAGTCAAGACGAACATCTACATCAAGTTTAAACATTCTACCTCAATTAGAGAAGAGTTGTTATGTTCCAAAGTCTTGACCAATCAAAATGCTTATTGCTCGTTAGCCTAAGCAGAAAATTTTCATCATCGAACTTAGTCAAGGTATTGATGTAATGAAACTATACACCAAGTTTCATCACTCTCACTTAATTAGAACTAAAGTTATCGTGTTCCAAAGCATCAACCAATCAAATTGCTTATCTCTGCTTACCCTAAGCCGAAAATGCGGATCTTCGCACTCCATCAAGGCATTGACCTCATAAACACCTACACCAAGTTAATTAGAAGGAGAGTTATTGTGTTCCAAAGTCTCGGCCAATCAAATTGCTTATCACTCTGCTTACCCTGAGCAGAAAATGCTCATAATCGAACTTAGTCAAGATATTGATGTAATGAAACTATACACTAAGTTTCATCACTCTCACTTAATTGGAACTAAAGTTATCGTGTCCCAAAGCATCAACCAATCAAATGGCTTATCTCTGCTTATCCTAAGCAGAAAATGCTTATCTTCACACTCCATCAAGGCATTGACCTAATAAACAACTACACCAAGTTTGAACATTCTAGCTCAATTAGAAGGAGGGTTATTGTGTTCCAAAGTCTCGGCCAATCAAATTGCTTATCGCTCTGCTTACCCTGAGCAGAAAATGCTCATCATCGAACTTAGTCAAGGTATTGATGTAATGAAACTATACACCAAGTTTCATCACTCTCACTTAATTGGAACTAAAGTTATCGCGTCCCAAATCATCAACCAATCAAATTGCTTATCTTTGCTTACCCTCAGCAGAAAATGCTTATCTTCACACTCCATCAAGGCATTGACCTACTAAACACCTACACCAAGTTTGAACATTCTAGCTCAATTAGAAGGAGGGTTATTGTGTTCCAAAGTCTTGGCCAATCAAATTGCTTATCACTCTGCTTACCCTGAGCAGAAAATGCTCATTATCGAACTTAGTCAAGGTATTGATGTAATGAAACTATACACCAAGTTTCATCTCTCTCACTTAATTAGAACTAAAGTTATCGTGTCCCAAAGCATCAACCAATCAAATTGCTTATCTCTGCTTACCCGAAGCCGAAAATGCTCATCTTCGAACTCCATCAAGGCATTGACCTAATAAACACCTACACCAAGTTTGAACATTCTAGGTCAATTAGAAGGAGAGTTATTGTGTCCCAAAAAGTGTGACGGACGGACGGACCACGGACGGACGGACGGACGGACGGACGGACGGACGGACGGACGGACGGACGGACGGACAGACAGACAGACAGACAGACAGACAGACAGACAGACAGACAGACAGACAGACAGACAGACAGACAGACAGACAGACAGACAGACAGACAGACCCATTTTAATAGTCCCCTGCTTTCTTCGAAAGGCGGGGGACAAAAATAAAACAAACATAATTTCTAAAGCTGCTGTAATAACCAAGAAGCTAAATTTTATTGCTATTCAAAATCGTCAACAATAGATTTTTTACGGCTGTAATAGTTGATATATTTGTAGAGAATTGCACGTGCCATGGCTATTTATCGACTCAAAGGGAGTGCGGGGTAGTCAGAAATCAGTTCGAGACACACAACTTAAGTGTGCACATTTAGCCGTGTCGAGACCAACTTTCTGTAGAGTGCACGGGTCACCCTAGTAATAAAATCTTAAAATCAATTCGATATTTAACAGGTAACCAGTGTAAATTATATAAAACAGGAGTTATGTGGTCACATTTCTTAGTTAAAGTAACAAGTCTAGCCGCAGTATTCTGTACTTTTTGTAATTTATCTATAAGCTTTAAAGGTAAACCAACTAAACGTGAATTAAAGTTATCTAATCGAGAAGTGACCAGAGAATTAACAAGTGACTTATAGTGGCCTCTACAGTTTCAAATTTACGTATTTTACCTATATTTCTGATATTAAAATAGCACAATTTACAAATATTATTTACTAGAACTTCCATAAGCAGTGGTGCAGTTTCCGGAATAATGGTTGACCTTGTACATCTCTGTGCAAGGGTTTTGATAGGGAGCGTACCAGTATGATAAGGGATGTGCAAGGGGAGGAGGATGATAGGAATTTCGTTGATTTCGTTTCTGGTGACTTCCTAGCTTATGATTTCTTTTGAAAACTACTTCTGATCGCATTAAGTGTATCATAGATGGGATCGGCACGATGAAAAACACCACCAGAATGAACTTCAGATCATGAAAATCCAACCATTTTTTTGGAGGAGATAGCCATGTCCTCGTTCAAAGGGGTCCCTCTGAATGAATGAACTTCAGATCATGAAAATCCAGCCATTTTTTGGGAGGCGATAGCCATGTACATCTCTGTGCAAGGGTTTTGATAGGGAGCGTACCAGTATGATAAGGGATGTGCAAGGGGACGAGGATGATAGGAATTTCGTTGATTTCGTTTTTGGCGACTTCTGGCTTGTTAGGATTTCTTTTGAAAACTACTTCCGATCGCATTAAGTGTATCATAGATGGGATCGGCACGATGAAAAACACCACCAGAATGAACTTCAGATCATGAAAATCCAACCATTTTTTTGGAGGAGAAATACCTATAATCTCGTTCAAAGGGGTCCCGATTTAAAAATCCTCTCCCAGAGGGGTCCAAGGGTCTGAAAATTTGAACCCTGACATTTATGGATAGCTTGGGCCCTAATAAACTCAAAACAACAAAATAATCAATTTTAGCATACAAATCCTACGGGAGCTGTTTTGATGACTGTCATACCACACTAACTCCTTATACATATAACTGTTACATTATATTTAGTAGCTAATAAAAATATTTAAATCAACAAAATCAAAATCATTCGACAAATTTTTACTTATGTTTAAATGGTTAAAATAAACTGTTACATTTTTAGCTAATAAAATATTCAAATCAACAAAATCAAAATCATTCAACAAATTTTTACTTACCTTTAAATGGTTTACTAACAGCTCTTTTCACTGTTATTGATTTCTCTGCTTCTGTTACAGCTCTCAATAATAAAGATTTATTTGCTTGTAACAATCTAGGTACACTTGACCTGAAATTATGAATTTTTGTGGTTTTTAACAAAAACAATCAATTTAATTTCTAAATGTTATTTTATCCAAACAGTGAAATAATTGTGCATTTTATGGTAAAAGCATCAAATTTGCCATGATGATAGGTTATGGTATAGTGAACAATAGTGTTGATTTAAGAAGGGTCATCTGATCTATCAGCATGGAAACAGGGATGTTTTGTTTAGAAAGATGCAACACTGATTAAACATAAATTATGCAAGAGCTAAATCTGTCTATTGGGCTGACCTTAAAAATATCTTTGTTTCACCAAACCCGACCCACAATCGAGGAGAAGGGTCGGTAGGTCGGTTTTTTTTTCAGATTTTTTTTTAAAGTCAGAGAAATCAATACAGAAAACTTATTAGCTGTATACTACAGATTCATTAATTTTGTTTAATGAATTTGGGGTCTGACGTAAAAAGTAACGAACTGAAAGTTTTTATTAAACTTAAGAGCTAATTTGACAGCTTAATAATTTTCCGGGTGGAAACATTCGTCTTCTTTATTGGCAAACAAATCAATGACATCGGGATTTTTCGTGATGCCCGACTCGCATACGATTAGCCACGAACTTGAAGTGTGAAACTCCTTCAACACGTTTTTAACGATAGTGCGCGTTGTGCTTTCATTTTTCTCGAAAACGGATATTGAAAATATCGTCGTCATGTTTAAAACTACGCACCACAGACATAGAGGCAGAATTATTTCGTGGGAATGGACGTGTATTCGTCTGCAACCATTTTGTTGAGAAGCGACACCTATGACGCTTTCGTCTTGATCAACCAGGTTCAATAATGAATCAAACCATAGCCATAGTATAGGGAAATAACTCTCATGATATATTTCAGGTTGACACACAAAATAAAATAAAAAGATCGTGGAAAAGTGCAATAAAATAATTTAAGTCGGGGGTGGTTTTAGTTAGTCGGTCGCGTTAGGCGAAACAAAGATATTTTTAAGGTCAGCCTTGCAGGTCTTTCTTTAGGCCTGAAATGTTATCTAAATTTTTAATTAGACATTAAACATGCATTATGCAAGAGCAAAATCTGCTTATTACAAGTCTTTCTTTAGGCCTGAAATGTTATCTAAATTATCAATTAGACATTAATTAACTTATCCAGACCATAATAAACTCTTGATGTCAAGGCTAGCCTTCGATGTTGGCTTGATTAGATTCCTATATGCTGCTAACGGCCACTGATAACTAAATCAGAAAAAGTGGATAATCGAGACTATGCTGTTTATATTAATGATTTTAGTAATGATGAACGAGACTATGCAAAAATTTCACCCGCTTCTTTCTCGGCTCATAGTGGATCAATTTGACTGAAATTTTCAGCAAATTACCTTTACACTATCTAGTTTTTAACTATTATAGCGAGAACTGTCATCTCTTTATCTTATCTCCCATAATGTATCTTTAATTAACCTATCCAGATCATAATCAACTCTTGATGGCATCGCTAGCCTGCGATCTTTAGTGGATTACTGCATAACTTTCCTTCACGATTTAACAATTAAATCGAGACTATGCTGTTTATCGTACCGACTTTAGTAATGTTGATATCGGTTCAATGTGGATCAATTTGAATGAAATTTTCAGCAAATTGCCTTTACATTACCAAGTTTTTAACTAGCATAGTGAGAACTGCCAACTCGTTATCGAATCTCCCATAATGTATCTTTAATGAGTGTTAAGCCATTAAAACCCATGATAAAGATAAGTTGCCAGGCAACGAAACATACGCCCACAGCAGCTAAATCGCCCGGGCAGTCAACAAGAGTTGTCCCATATTTTTACTTTTTTCGGTAATGAAACATTTATAATACATTAAAATCTGATTAAGAGTAACAACTCATTAAGTTATTATCAGAAAACCATTAGAATTTGTTTGGTTTTTATAAAGTTCTGCCCAAGGCTAATGTTTAGTATACAAAACTTTTAACATCATGGATTTAGCAGTTCAAGTCATAAAAATTCATTGAAAATCAATATACTTGTTCGTCTCAAGATCTTAAACTCTGTGTATCAATCTGATGTCAATCGGATGATAACTTTAGCCTCTAGAGCGTCACAAGATTTTCCAAAGTGATCAAGGGCCAGAACTCTGGCAGTAATTATCTAAAATTGCTGAAAATGAATAGACTTTTTCGTCTCATGACCTTAAACACTGTGTATAAATTTAAAGTCAATCGGATATTAACTTTAGTCTCTAGGGCGTCCTCAAGATTTTTTTGAAGTAAACAAGGGCCATGACTCTGGTAGTGATTATCTGAAAACGCTGAAAATCAATAGGCTTCTTCATCTCATGACCTTAAACACTGTGTATAAATTTAAAGTCAATCGGATATTAACTTTGACCTCTAGAGTGACCACAAATTATTTGAATTGATCAAGGGCCATAACTCTGGAAGTAATTATCGGAAATCACTGAAAATCAATAGGCTTCTTCGTTTCATGACCTTAAACACTGTGTATAAATTTAAAGTCAATCGGATATTAACTGAGAGTAGAGTGAGAGAAATGGGGTTTAACGTCCATTTCAAAAACTAGGTCATTTTGGGACTAACATATGGTTTACTTTTATTTAAATAATTTGCTTGCTCATAGGGGTCTTTAATTAGCAGTGGGAGGAAACCGGAGGACCCGGAGAAAACCCATGAGGTTGGACAGGCGACCCTACTCCTTGTCATGTACAATCGGGGATTTCAAACCATGCCAGTTGACTCAATGACAGACCTTATGATACAGCGTGCATGTGCTAACCATTCGGGCATCCAACCCCCCGCACTGACAGTAAATAACTTATCTCCGGTTCATGAAGAAGTGTTCAGCCAGTGTAATGCCAATAACAACATCCCACCTGTAGCACTGGTGTTATTAATGGTCGCAGCGATCTTCTCCTATGTTCATACTGGGCCCTCCCAAGCCTATGTGGCGCCCCAGGGCAAACATTTCAGTGATGCCCCCCCCCCCCAATTGCATAGTGTAACTGCCTTGTTTAGTGCCTGCGGTCAATTGATGATTTATGATTAAAGAAATTTTAAAATACAATTTTTATACGCCCCCACTGAAATGTGGTCGTATATTGTCGTCGGTCCGGCATCCACAATTGCTGGTTGATGCTCTATAAACTAAAGTTAATATCCGATTTACTTTAAATTTATACACATGGTTTAAGGTCATGCGACGAAGATGCCTATTGATTTCCAACGATTTCCGATAATTAATGACAGAGTTATGGCACTTGATCACTCTAAAAAAAAAATCTTGTGGACGTTGTGGAGGGTAAAGTTTAAAGCGGAAATTGCAAATTTTTAAGTTATATTTTTTTTAAAATTTATTAAAATAAAGCCTGAAAATAGATGGTATCCATAATCAGTCCTACCTTGTTAAAGAATAATCCTATTAATCCTATAATTCACTATTGCCAGCTGAGAAATTGGCAAAAATATCATTTTTCTCTTCATTTTCAAACGTTTGAAAAAAGCTACTCCATGGTGGAGAATAGAAAACAAGGGAGGTAATTGGGAGGTAATTGTGTTATTATTTCCTGTGTAATGAGTTTTTAGTGTGAGAATGACACCTATGATCGTATAATTGTGAGTTGACAACCTATTGAGCAAAAGACATAGAAATAATTACGTTTTGACTTTCTTAGAAAATTTGCAATTTCTGCTTTAAGTAGTCAAGTCTCTAGCTCAATATCATCCAAGTCTTCGACATTGAAAACACGAATTATTTGTCAATTTAAATCAACATTGATGTTGTGATCTTACCGGGAAAAGATGGGGCTCTGATATCAAATATCTAAGATAAAATAAACATTTTACTATTGGTACACGAATCGTGTACCATAGTGCATTTTAGTGCCATTTGTAACAAGGGACTTGAAGAACGAGGCTAGACATATTCCACCAGTCATGCCAAACGGTGACCATCATATTCTTATCTGGAGAGCATGCGTAATAAATAATTAATAAGGATTCTTATATTGCGCTAAACTCCAGAACAAAGTGTCTGCTCAAAGCGCTAACAAAAGTAAAAGTTCATCTGTATGAACTGTCAAACAGATAGGTCTTTGAACAGGATTTAAAATGTAGTTAGTGACGGGGCAGATTTGAGAGATACAGGTAGTTCATCTGTATGAACTGTCAAACAGATAGGTCTTTAAACAGGATTTAAATGTTGTTAGTGACGGGGCAGATTTGACAGATACAGGTAGTTCATCTGTTTGACAGATACAGGTAGTTCATCTGTATGAACTGTCAAACAGATAGGTCTTTGAGCAGGATTTAAAATGTAGTTAGTGACCGGGGCAGATTTGAGAGATACAGGTAGTTCATCTGTATGAACTGTCAAACAGATAGGTCTTTAAACAGGATTTAAATGTTGTTAGTGACGGGGCAGATTTGACAGATACAGGTAGTTCATCTGTATGAACTGTCAAACAGATAGGTCTTTAAACAGGATTTAAAATGTAGTTAGTGACGGGGCAGATTTGAGAGATACAGGTAGAGAATTCCACCTAATTACAGCTGCAACTTCTAAGGACTTGAATCCAAATGATTTCCATTTCCATGTAGGCACAACTAAGTTAAGTTGATACTGAGATCTAAGATTTCTTGGTGGTTTGTAAAGTCTGAAAATATCATTCAAGTATGTAGGACCAGTTCTATTTAAACAACGATACACAATAGATAGAATTTTAAAGTCAATTCTTTCAGCGATAGGGAGCCAATGAAGTGATTTTAATGCAGGGGTTATACTGGATCTAACAGGAATTTTTTTGACTAGTTGAGCCGCTGAATTTTGAATTTTTTGCAGCCTTTGTAATAATTCTTTTGAGACGCTGAGGAGGAGACTGTTACAATAGTTTAATCGTGACAAAATTAGCGAGCGAGCGAGTGTAGATGTGGCTTCAGTTGTGAGAAGATGACGAATACTACTAATCTTCTTGATATGATAGTAGCATGT